AGCTGATGCCGTTCGGATCTTTTCACTGGCAAGCTTCACTGTGTAACCGCAACATCTCCTCACAGGATTGTTCCGTCTCTGTGGTTTCTTCAGTGGCTGCGACGCTTCCGTTCTGCTAGAAGGACCCAATACAGAGCGAAGAGCTAGAACCAACACGGGACTCCATGGCTTTGACGCCATCGACGCCGCAAAAAGAGCTGTGGAGAACGCTTGCCCGGGCGTAGTCTCAGCCGCCGATGTGTTGCAGTTCGCCGCCCGTGACGCAGTTGTACTGGTGAGCAAGCATCCCATAACGCAAACCTGGTAGTGTCTGTGGATGAAGGTTGGATGTCTGCCTGGTTGATCGTTCCCGACTTCACCCGATCGCGCATCGAATGAGCGATTCAGAAGCGCATCCGATCCCGCATTGAACCTGTGGGGTCGAGTATCAGGCTCCCGTTTCTGACATGTGGATTGCACCTGCGTGGTTGTCCAGGCTGGAGGTTACGGGTGGCATGTGCCCGCTGGGCGTCGAGACGGAACGGTTTCCATCATGGAAGAAGCACTGAACCTGCCCGCCCCGAGCATGACCGTGTCCCAACTCATAGATGTGTTCGGGCGGAAGGGCTTGAGCCCCTCCCAAATGGTAGTCCTATCAGGTGCCCACACCATCGGAAAAGCCCCGTGCGTCACATTCGACGACCGCGTTCAGACAACCCCGGTGGACCCAACTCTGGCTCCCAGCTTCGCCACGTTCTTGAAGGGGCAGTGCCCGTATGCAGCAATCCAATCCACCAGCGTGGACATGGATTCCACCGCGCACACATTCGACAGCCAGTACTTCAAGGACATCATCGCCGGGAGAGGCCTGCTCACCTCGGACCAGAGCCTGTTGTACGACTCCCGCACCAGCGGGGGTGTGTACGCCAACAACGGCGCGGCATTCTACCGCAACTTCGCCAAGGCGATGGTGAAGATGAGCCAGATTGAGGTGCTCACAGGTTTGGACGGCGAAATTCGGCGACAGTTTGACCAGGTGAACAGCCACTAGAAAGGGAAGGGGGCCCAGGAAACAAGGCCGCCCAGATATGGAGAGCATCCGTGTATCATAGAGTAGATTAGGACGAGTTCATTGCACATGGTGAGCGTCAACTGCCACGTGCTCATTCTTTCCGGTGCACAGCATCGGCATGCTTTGCGTTGCTTGTCGTAAGCAATTTACCGCACATCCCTGCGCGGCGTCAATCTCTGAATCACTCTTCGTCCTCTGAATTGGGCCAACCATGACAAGGTTATGAGCAGCAAAGCGCATGGATGTACTGCCCTTCACAAGTGTGATGAACACAAACAAACGTGGAGCAGTTGTTGTCGTGGCCGGTTTCGAAGTGGGATTCATGGATAGCAGCTTTGTGAAATCTCGAGGTATCGTTTTCATTTGCAGAGTGCGCATGAATAAACTTGATCTCCCATAACCATGACGAGACTGGCGTGCAGTTTTGCTGGGTCTTCTAGAATCAACATTTAGGTAGGCATTGTCGCCAGGGTAAGAAATGTAAATGTGCTTTGGCTAATTCAATTTTAAACTCAGTGAGGGCAATTCAAATAATTCTAGATATTGATGCATTGTAGTAATCCACTTCATTGTTTAGAAATATTGGTGGTGGTGGCTCAGCTTTTTGGTGATCGTTTTTTTATTGAGACTTCATAACTTCTTTCAAACAAAACATTTGTAATACTATTAGGAGTCATTTCTATTTTTTATAATATCACTAAATATGTGAAGTTTCATTTAAGATTGTGATATTAAATATGTTGTAGTTTGTCTTTTGTATGGAAAAAAACCATGTCTTATTTGAGGGTCTTCATCTCTTTTATATTGTCTTCATGGTTGTGATAATCTCAATGTTTTATCCAATAAATCAAAAAATGATACTTCTTGAATTCAATATGTTGGTTGTTGATGCTTTGTCTTCCTAAGAGTTTAAAATAAACTACAATCAAGGATAGAGGATAAAATGCAATCTTTATTGAATCTCAATTTTTTTTATAATACTAAATGACTTGATTCTTTGCCTTGATTTTTATCAATATTATTGATAAAAAGCCTTGAATTTTTTATTATATTTCAAGATTTTTGATTGATTCTATTTGTATTAATCAATATCATATTTTTACTAATAAATTAAATATTTTAACCTAAGTTGGCACTACCTTCACTCTAAAACTTCTTTGATTTTAATTTTTTATAATTATCCACTTCTATAGGAAGAAGTGGTATTTAACTTCTTTCCAAAATATTCACTATCTTATATGATTCTATTTAAGATTTGTAGAACATACAATGGATCTTCCAACTCCAATAGATATAATTGATATGCAAGTAGATTAATTTGAATATAAATAAGAAATGGTTCAAATTTATATTTATTTCAACTTATCACAAGTGTAATTAATTCTTATATTATGACAAAATATCCATAGCTTTTTATAAATATAGAATTAAGATTTTTCTTTGTAATAGGCATTTATTTTGATCTTTTTTTTTTTGTGAATCTCTTTTAGTTATACTTTTATTGTTTCATATAGATGTGATAGATGATTTGCCAAAACTTTTTCCTCATGTTTATTAATTTTTAAAAAGTTAAAAATATTGTCATGAATGACAATCATAATAAGTATTAAAAGATATTTATTTAATAAAAATATATATCATATTATTATAAACAAACTCTACTAATGGCAAAAAAATTATCTAATCATTTTAATGATTGTTGATAGTACATTGCAAATATTACTTCAAAACTTAATTCATTTATTTTGTTCATCTATCAATTTGAAGATGAAAATCTAATAAATAATTTTATATCTACTTTTACTATCTTGAAAAAAAAATTAAACCTTAATATAATTTGAATCCTTCTATAAAATATAATATATTTATGCAATTCATAATAATGCTAAATATTATAAAAAAAAAATATTTACCTATTTTTTCATATGTAATAGATTTTGTATATGATACAAAATATTCCATTATTGAAAAATAATCCACTATTGTGAATATAGAATCATATGTACTTAATATTCAAAGATTTGTAATAAAATCCATAAAAATAAAAGACTTTACTTATTTTGGTATTGATAATAGTTATAGAAGTTTATAAGATCAATGATAAGGAATTTTTATCTTGAACAAATATTACATGATTGTACAAAGAATCTGATTGTTTTTGACATTTGATGCCCCTAAAAATTCTTTGAGATTAATTCTAAGGTCTTGTTATATATAGAATATTCTACAATTAAAAAATTATGATGAACTTAAAGAGCATGTAATTGTATTTCATCTTTTAGAACATATTATTGTCCTTTAAAATAGAGTAGATTGTTCTTGAATTCAAACTTGGAAGTAATATGAGATTTTAAAGAATTATTCTAAATATCACAAAAAAAAATAAAATAAAAATAGAAGACATATTTGACTAAATTTATTGAAAAAAAGTTGAATCAATAATTAGTATTGATTTCATTACTTGAAGGTGTAATTGCTTTGGCTTTAAGAAAATTATTTGTTATTGATTAAAAGTTACATCTCTTTCTTTTGGCATAAGATAAAAACATCTTGAAAGGACATTCGATAAACTTTATTGTTTTTATGGCCAATAAGTATTCTTAAATTTAAATCTTCACAAAAATATGATCTAATGGACTTGGAAAAAATTTAGAATATATACTAATATAAAATATTAGAGGTTATATCAAAGACATGAATTGAAAGAAAATGCATAAACTTGAGAAATTTGTATAAAAAAAAAATAATGAAATAGAAATAAAGTAGTATGTATATTAAAAGAAAACTAGAATGGCTATTGCCAAAAGATAAAAAAAAAATAAAGACTCTTGAATCTAGACTAGAAATAAGAAAGGAGTTGATAAGAGTGAAGAAGGCTTCATTTTTGCCTCTATATATACTATCTACCTAGGATCTATATGGCGACATTCTATAGGACGTCCAAAAACATGTTGACTTTGCATGATATGTATCTTGACTTGTAAGGCAAGTTTTTCATATGATCACACATAGTCAACTTATTCTGCAAGCTACCAACACATGTGGCACATGAGTAGCTTATTGACAAAGTTTCTAATCTACCAATCATCTATAAACATATGTAAAGTCAAAAAAATATCTGAAAAGCTTCTGAGAAGCTTTTGTAGAAGGTATTATGATATTAATCTAATTTTACCTAATTCTATGTACTTGGATAACAATTATAATAAATATATATCTGTAACATTATCTCTCTTTTTAAAGATGAGTTCCACAAGGAGTGGTGATCATATGATGAGAAAGTTTTAAATAGGGCAAATTATATTAGCCACAAACTCTAATCTTTATTCTCTTCAAAGGTACTTGATAGGTCTTTTCAACCATCAATAATATCCCTTTTTAGGGTGGAAGACTATCTTGTGATTTGATCATTGTTGAAACCTTTGTAACTTCGTTCAAATAAAATATTTGTAACACCATCAAGAGTCATGCCTATTGTGATTGCTCATTTTACTTATTTCGGAAGAAACCTCCGAGTATAAACCTATATAGGGGGATTCGAACACGGGAAATGACTAGTTGCTTAAGCGTTCACATTAGGGTCACACAATCAATTACCTCTTGAATGTATCATCTCTATTTCCAATATCTGAACACACAAGGAAACTATAATCTCTTCCTTCACCTTATCGGTCTCTTCCTTACAGCAATTCAGTCATACTAATAACTGCTATTTCTACCAATATATTCACCCTCATAATCTCCAACTGTAATACTGTGCTCTCACAGCTTTCAACATACAATTACCCTCGTTCCAATCACTGGAATTCTTCACACAGAACTGCCATTCACATTACAGTGTTTCACACAAACACAGACTCATTCTCTCTGCTAAACTACAATCAGATTTCAGCATTCAATCTTTCTTCTTCTCAAATAATACCAATCACATTTCCATTCCATAATTCACTTCACAATATTCAGAAACTGTCAATCCTCTTATTCAAAGAAAATAACAAATAAAAGAAACGAGGTAGCACCAAGCTTACCCCGGCTCACACTATCACAGCAATGGCCCTCGACTCACGACTCTCACAGTCTGGCACCCTAATTAACTTCTACAACTCATATATACTTTCTCCTGATTCTCCAAATTTCAACTGTAATTCTGTAATTAACTGCTTTTAATAACTAAATCACTCATCCATCCTCTTGAATTTCTTATTATATGGATTATTAATATATTTTACTAATATCTTTCAAAAATGAATTAATATCTATTCTACATAGCTCCACTCCTATCTGTGCAGCATCCTCGCAAACACTCAATTGATACCTAAGTAAAAATTATCTAACAAAACTTCACAAAATTACTAGTTCCTCTAGTCCACCTAATTAATCAATTGCTGCATTATCGAATGTAGGTTTGACCAAATCTGGTTCTAATTACAAATCTTCTTCTTCTTCCTCCAATCCATCGACTCCTTCGTCAACTGAGCTGAAAGGTCTTCATTGTACTCACCCAGTTCATAGACTTGAGCATCCAGTTTCAAGATCTGGACATCCCGAAGTTCTAATTGATGCTGTTGCTGACTCATCCATTTTGGAATATCTTCAATCGACACTTGTGACCGACTATCACTGATAACTCTTAACTGAAACTACTACTCTCAAAAATACAAGAAATACAATAAAATGGCACTCCAGCCAATCCAAAACAATACCACAGAATGACTTAAATTCGTGCCCCACTCCTATTCTTTTACCTAGTGGTGATAACGACAACATATTACCCATACTGTCCGTGAAAGGTAATGAGAAGTAATCTTTCTTGGTGGCCATGTTTAACTTTCAAAAATCTTGATATATCTTGATTTTTTCATTTTTCTTCCATACTCTCATGATTGGCGACACCCATGCACTATACAGAACAGGATAAATAAAATCCATGTCAAGAAGTTTATCCAACTCCTCTTTCACTAAAAGGAAATATTTTGGGTTAAGACAGTGTTGTCTTTGACAAACTCGCGTAACACCCTCCTCTAAAATAATCTGGTGCTCACACACATCGATTGGAATCCCTTTCAAATCCGCATATGACCATGCAAAGGCAGATTTGTAATGGACAAAAAATTGTTTCCAAGCATCCAATTCTATACAGATAATATCGGCATATATTTTAATTAGCTGTGGCATTTCGTTTGTACCCAGGTTAATAGATTGACACACAGGGTCTTCAACAACCTCTAATTTAATTGTCTTCTCCTGATCTGAATATCTTGTATTATCCGACATATGGAAACCAACCAAATCTGGTTCCAATGTGCTGACTCTATGGACTGCAGAATTGTTCATTCATTCGGCAATAGCATGATCCGAGTTAATCGCATCCTCCTGATGTAGTAAATATTTGCCGAGACTTCCACATTGGTAGACTCCTGCCTTTGCTGTTGAAGTATTTTGTCCTACCCCAAATTGCGATGAACCTATAGCATCGTCATCTGCCTCAATCGATTGACTCTCATTGTCCGATGTA